TGCTTCCCAAAAGTAAAAAGCAAATAGCATTTAACAAATTTCATTAGAAATCGGTAATTTTTTCAATTTTTTCATTGCTAAAAGAGGAAAATATCTGTCAAATTGTCCCCATCGAATTGCTAGAACGCCCAACTTCTAATCAAGTTTGCCCAAATTCTCCCCATTCCCGTTTCACAACTAAATGAGATTTTTTTTTCTCTTTTCAACTACTCCTTCCTCCTTTCTGTTCAAATATGGTTTGTTCAAAGAATGAAGGTACCCAGTTCCACAGTTATCTGAAGTGGTGTTTTTTTGCATTATGGCAGAAAGACGGTTATTTAAAGAATGACAAGTTCTTTGAACGAACTCTGTAGCATGAGTAATTGTGAGCCGCATAGTACGGAATCAAGTACTCGTCAACTTCATAGGAATCTTTCCAAGGCATGTTATCGCCAATCTGTTCGATTGCTTGGTACAAATCCCTGAAAAACGGTGAATTCACGGACTGTAAAAATTCACTTGTAGCCCTTTGATGTTATGCATTATCTTGGGTGAGTACACTTTACCATAAGCAAATGAAGCCATCTAGTTTCACCTTTGCTGCCTTACACAGAATTGTGCGAATCATTATTCTGAAGTCTATGTTGATGCAGAGTTATAGCCATATGCCAAGCGCAAACATCTAGACCGTCCCCTTTCATAGGTAGACCCAAGACGGACTTCTGGGAGGGAAGGGAAAAGTGGGGCAGCTGGGATGTCACGGGGGTGGAGAGGAAAGTTCCCTCCCACCCTGAAACTATGAAGAGAGGTGTAACACTGCTATTTAGTATTACTTCAGTTTACAGTTACTTTACAGTTTACTTTAGTTTATGCTCAGGCCTTAGCAGCATCGGTACCTGTTCCGCTGGGGACGAAAGACCCATTGCCCCCCCCCCCTCCTCCTCCTCAGATCCGGCCTATGTCCCCTAGCGGGGGCTATTCACCTTCAGTTGTTACTCGCTGTGTTTGTCACTATTTTACCACTGGAATATATCTATCATTTTGTCCATCGCTGTTGGCTCGCATAGACCATATCTGCCAATAGCAATTTCTTGTTCCAATTCAAAGGAATGCAATTCAAAATCTATAACGAAAAGCATGCAATAGAAGCGTCACCGCGAGATTCTAAAATTTGTTTATTTGTGCATGTGGCTCATATAAGTATAAGTTTTTCCGCTCGTAAAAAATCTATAGGCAGTAGGAGGTAGTTATTCCTTAGCCTCTTCATTCGTCTTGGAACCTGTAATTAGACTGCATCAATCAGGTTAGACCCGGATGCTTAATTTGTAAAAGCTGGAAGATTGCAATCAAAGATAAGATCAGAAGGAAAGAGTGAGGTAAGACGTTTCGGTCCATTAAGCCACATACGTCTTGTCTTTCTATTTCGTCCAGAAGTCGTAAACTTCATGAGCAATCTATGTTATAAATCAGCACTGAATGCTTTTTTGCATGCAATGCGCAGTTGTGGGAAACACAATTTTGAATTCGAGTTTACTCACCTGGGAAGTAAATTTTTAAGTGTTTTTTCCTTGACTAGATGCAGTTTGTGCTTGACAAGCGCTGGCTCTTCCGGTATCAGAATCTGCTTGACTGTTATCGTTTGATGTCCTCTAACTGCGAGTTGCTGAGCGAGAAATTCAAATGTAGCCCTTTCGGATGGTTTTGTACCGATCAAAAATAGCAGCACAGTTACGGAACTGACCAACGGCAGCAAGCACAGTGAAAATGCCAACTTTAGATGTATCATTCTTCGCATACATTCATATATTTTCACGTCTGTTTCATGCTTCACAGTATTTCATTAGTGGATTCCGCACAACCTACGAACAATCAACATTTGAATTCTCCATGTACTGAATTTCACCGGCGAAATATCGGAGAGCTGAAACTGATGACTGATGTACGCTTTCCTCCTCTTCCTCCTCCACAGATGCAGCTAGTGGTTTAGCAAAAAATTTCCCGGAAGAAGAAATACTTTTCAATTTATCAGCAGTTCAGAAGTAAAAATCTGTCAATTACGTCATAATTGCGAAGATCTGCGTTATTTTTAACATTTACAAATTGTTTTTCAGATGCGTTACAAAAACTGATAATAATTATGATAAAAAGCGGTGTTTCTGTTTTGACACCAGCCTATTAGTACTCTTTGAAAAGAAATCACTCGCACCTGATCCTTGCTTGTTCACTTCTGTCCTCCCCATTTGCTACGCTAGCGCTTGAAACCGTTTTCTTGTTGCTAATGCTTCAGCATAACATGCGCTGACCCGGCTATCATCTTAACCTACAGAACGGTATCTCCACTTTCCTTCGACGAGCTGAGCAAGCCAGATTAATTAGGGATGTGTAAAACGTCATGAGGGTTATCAGGTTTTTGCAAAGGCGGAAGCTGAAAGAACATTACGCTCTACAAAAAAGATTATACAAAATGGTAAAGACCAAAAGCATCACGCAGGAAACAAGAAAAGAAAGTAAATTTTGGCAGTGAGGTGCCGAAAAGCCACTGCCATGAACACCTACAAAGAAGTAGAACGAAACAACCCGCAAAACAGTGGCAATGGGATTTGTGCATCGCTTAACGTATGTAAAACTTCATGTGACTAGTAACTGCCTGCCTCGCTCGAAAGCCAGAGCCTGGTTGATAAGAGAAGGCAATGCGAAGTGAGCGAGCAGTTCATTTTTTATGCATTTTGCGCCGACACCCTGCCAGTGTTTATTTCTTTGTTCAGATATTTACCCGAGTTTTTTAATTCAACAACTAGAAAAGCTAGGAAGCTGAAATCTTAGGACTCTTCCTGCCCATGTGCGGCTCCATTAATTTCAGCTTTTGCGGGTGGCCAGTTCTCACGTATGGGAAGCGAAAGTTTTGATGGAAAATTTACTACAGACAAGATAAAAAGCTGTAATTTTTATGAGAGTATTT